AGACAGGAAATGTGTTTATAAAGGACATAACACCCACGTAATTGTGTCCCGACTTTTCTGAAGACAGTAAAGCTGAACATGGCTGGAATATCATATCGCCTGTAGACAGGCAGCTCGGTGCACCTGACTATTAACCGTAGCAAAAGGCTCTTGATGTTAATGCTGCCTTTGATAGCCCTCTAGTGACCGCAGAGGTGTACCTGCCAGCTGAGATAAAGAACTGTAATTCACGATAATGAGACTCTTTGCAGTTTGGTTGTTTCTACAGAGCCAAGTGGGGCATTTTTTCCCCCCCGTCTTCAACGCTAACACACTTGTGTTTCTTGTCGCTTTTTCATCATGCAAAGCTTTTTACAACTCCCCGTTCGCCCTCTATCTCACCTGTACGTGTGTATGTGTGTCTACACAGCCCAGGGGAGAGTATAAAACCAGACTAATGAATTTTTCTGCTCTGCTTATGCTCTAGCTCTCACGCGCAGCCATTTCATTATTCCCCGGTCTCGCCCAAATGTTAGCCTGGGTCACACAGGGAGCACGAGTGGGGCAAATAAGTTGAGCAGAGAGGGGGAGAAGAATCCCCACAACAACCTGATCACGTCATGAGAAAGCTTTCCAAACCAGAAAAAAAAAAAAAAAACAGGAAGAAAGATCAAATTCAAACCACATGGGCATGATTGGCGTGACCGATGTTGGCAGCAAACACATTCAGCACAGCAGAATTTAATTAACACTTTTGAAATTTATGGCGACATGCACCAGTAAATCTGGGGTCTTTGTCTGGCTGTAATTACTGCCATACAGGTTTGAGGGCCACAACATAGTTAGAGCTCTGACTGGGGAAATTAAGGAGCTGCAAATCGGAAACAATTCCAGATGATTCCTCTACTTCCACCCTCTGAGTTTATCTAGTCAGCAAATAGCTTCTCTTAGCACCATACAAGTTGGCACCGAATCCAAATTATGCTGAAATGAGGGAATTTCCACCCACTTCCAACCAGTAAATAATGATTATGGCACTTCTCGGCGGTGATTATCATTGTACTGTCTCAGCTTGCTCGTGAATGGTGCCCATTGGGTCATGATAAACATAATGAGATAATAGCTGCAGCCAAATTTACTCCGTCAGGAGGATTGGATGGGCGTCGAGAGTGATTTTGATTTGACAAACACTGTCAGTCCCACAAGGATGGTGACGAACGGCGCTCGAGCAGAGCATAAATCTCAAGGAAAGGTTTGAGATTTTTATCAGATGACTATGGATATCATTTTATTAGGAGCTGGCACGGATGATAATCTGTTCCACATGCTTCACAGATAATAGAAGCAGTTTTGCTGTGGTCAACGCGTGGAGCTGCAGCGTTTTTTCCGCGCAAACATATCCCACTTTATTAAACGTTGTCATGTAAGACACACAGTGGAGTGAAATTGAAAAATGGATGTACTTTGATAAACAAACAGCATTATGATAAAAGCAGACAACACGTTCCTCGGCAGCATCTTTTCTCCACGCTGCTGATCCTCTTCCTCGCTCTCGAGGGACCAGACCATACTCATAAAAATACTCATTTTTCTTTTTATAATGAAATGTGTGATTTATTCCAGCAAAGCAAATGGTTATACTTTGACGATAATAGCAAGCAGTGCAACTATTTTCTCACCTCCTACGCAGGTTAATGCAACACTGGAGTCTATCCAATCATGCACAAACCAAAACACATCTCATCCTCTCTGACCCTGGAGAACAAGTTATTACCAACTCGGGCTCTTCAGATTTGCAGAACTTTATTTAAAATTCTACTCTGGGCCAGAGAGTTCTCAAAAATCTAAAATGTGTATGGATAATATGGAAAATAATGCCAATACACACATTTTGCATTTTCCTGCAGAAGATATAAACGATATACACTCAACAGCCACTTCATTCGTCATTTGTAATTAATCGATATTTGGATTACATCATTAATGCAAATACCAAATCAACCAATCACATGGCAGTAACTCCATGCATTCAGGCACGTAGACATGGTCAAGACGAACTGCTCAAGTTCAGACTTGCCAACACAATCGGGAAGAAATGTGGTTTTGGGGACTTTGAATGCATCACGGTAGTTTATGACAGTTGAGCCGGTCAGAGTATTTCAGAAACTGCTCATATACCAGGATTTCCCCACAGAACCATCTCTATAGTTTACAAAGAACAGTATGAAAAAAGAAAAAAGACTTCAGAGGAGAAGGGCCAGACTGCTTTGAGCTGATAGGATGACAACAGTAACTCAAATTACTGACTTGTTTCATCCACGGTCTGCAGAAGAGCATCTCTGAACACACAACACACGAAATCTTGAAACGGATGGCCTGCAGCAGCAGAAGACCACACAGGGTCCCACCGAGGCAAAAATTCACACAAAATTTCCCATCTTCTGTTGTCACCAACACTGGACAACAGAAGAATGGAAGAATGTTGCCTTTTCCAATGAGTTTCCATTGTCTGCTGTAACATTTGGATAGTAGGATCTGCAGAATCAGACATAAACAACATGAAAGCATGGGCCATTCGAACCTTGTATCAATAGTAGAGGCTGCTGCTGGTGTAATCCTGTGGGTAGGGTGACCAGATGACTCTCTTTATGTTGGGACTACACAGCATCTTTATTCTTTATTCCCACATCTTGAGAGAAAGTCCCACACTGTGACTGCTTCTGCAGGATGTGCACTTCTAAAGTCAGTTTTTTCCTCAATATCCATGCTGGAAAGTTTTGATTTCTTTATTTTTTTGTAGTTCAAAGAAGCCTAATGCCACACTCATGAGGGGAAGTTACAAGTCACCAAAAAGTCACAAGCTTTGCTTGGTGAATATGACAGAAAACGCAGCAGACAATATATTCTCAGAAATATGGTTTTTAATTTTTCAAGTTTGCACAGGGGAAAATATGGTATATAAGTATATATATTTAATAAGTATTTGTGTGGCATAATTAGATATGGATATGAACACATCCAAACTGTAATCAGACAGAAGAGCAGCTGAAATAACTGTTAAATAAAAGAATAAGTGAGTATGTGAGGACTGTCACAAGGAAACATAA